ACCCTGCATTCACTATATCTCTTCTCCCCGGACCCTGCATTCACTATATCTGGTCTCCACAGGATCCTGCATTCACTATATCTGGTCTCCCCGGACCTTGCATTCACTATATCCGGTCTCCCCGGACCTTGCATTCACTATATCTGGTCTCCCCGGACCTTGCATTCACTATATCCGGTCTCCCCGGACCTTGCATTCACTATATCCGGTCTCCCCAGACCCTGCATTCACTATAACCCTGGTCTCTCCGGACCCTGCATTCACTATATCTGGTCTCCCCGGACCCTGCATTCACTATATCTCCTCTCCCAAGACCCTGCATTCACTATATCTGGTCTCCCCGGACCCTGCATTCACTATATCTGCTCTCCCCGGACCCTGCATTCACTATATCTGGTCTCCTCGGACCCTGCATTCACTATATCTGGTCTCCCCGGACCCCCGCATTCACTATATATGCTCTCCCAAGACCCTGCATTCACTATATCTGGTCTCCCACAGTACACAGAACATGGAAATGCAATTATTTTAGTAAATATAAAAACTACTAAATACCTTTGCAGTTGGAACAGTCTTGTGAATTCTATCAGTGTCCAGCAGAGCACCAATTAAAACATGTAGGAAAAGTTTTCTTTTTGCTCTGCAAAGAATATTTTATTCAGATATGATTAGTGTTACTAAACCCCGGACCCTGCATTCACTATATCTGGTCTCCCAGATAAAGTGCAATTATTTTACTAAATATAAACTGTTAAATACCTTTTCTCATCAGCAGTGTATAGCAGTCTTGTGACTTCCATCAGTATCCAGCAGAGCACTGGTTAAAGCTTGTAGGAGGAGTTTTCATTCTCCCATGATTGTCCTATGAGGCTGCATGACCCCTGACCCTCTGTCTGGACAGTGCTGATTGGCTCTGTGCTGATCACATACACCCTCCCAAGGAACAATAAAAACCTCTCTAGCAATACACACCAAACTGAGCATGTGCAGAGTGACTCCAAACCTCTGTTCTATCAGAGGATATTTAGTGGACAATGGCAGAAGGGGACGATCAGGAAAGACAGGATCAAACAGCCTTTTTACACAATGCAGAGGATTAACCCCTTAGCAGTGGCAGACTGATCATTCGAGCACTCCGGCACTGTCTGAGGTCCCGGGGTCAGTAGGGGGCCCCATGAGATGCCCCTGGTACCCTTTCATTGGCTTTTTCATAGGCTTTTTTGGGGGTGGGTGAGGACACGATCCCCTATTGCCCGGGGGCCCCATGAGTTGTCAGTCCGCCCCTGCCCCTTAGGTTCCACAGTGAGTATAACACGCATGATATACCAGATATACAGACTGATTTTACTGTTGTGGGTTTAGTAATACTTTAAGCATGACAAAAAGGGCAAAACACGTATTTTATTAAAAGTTGGGCAACTCTCAACACACCGTGCTATAGCAAAACAAAATGTCATCCAGTTGGGGTTTAGATCTACTTCTTCAAAAAGTTAGTTACCTCCCGTGTTGTTCAGAATTCCAGAAAGGGTTAATGATCCCATGGTCTTGGCAATAACACTGATTAACTGCATCAATAGCTTGGCACTCACATTGAAAGCAGGTGTCCAGAACAAAGCATAAGTGCACAGCCATACAGATTAGTAGTAAATGGATATGTCAGCTCATATATAGATGGACAGTGGTAGGGATATTGATAGAGGTACAGCAAGACCTATCAGTAATTCTGATACTCGTGGGCCTCTTTCTGAAGTGATTTACTGTACGTGGCCCTTCCTTCCATTATTTGCTAGTGGGAAACAGCTGCTGCACAAACCACTGGTGAATAAGGCCCTCTATTAATTACATCAATATGAAGGGTCATAAATATCATCAAACCCAGAATGTCAATAGCTGACTTAATAGCGCCAGCTCTAGAAGGCATCTCCAGATGTATGTAAATAGAAGCTGTTAGAAACACTTCATTTGGTCACCCATGTAATGCTATTTGAATTATTGGTTTAATGGTTCATTTTAGAGGCTTTGAAGAATATATTTTCTGAGGGGTATTATGTAGATAGGAGATCTATTATTTCATATACCATATATAACAAACTGGGCGGCATAGTGGCTTAGTGGTTAGCACATCTGCCTTACAGTAAATGGGTCATGGGTTTGTTTCCTGACCATGGTGCCTACAGCATGGAATTTGCATGTTCCTCTCCCACACTCCAAAACACATGCTGGTAGGTTAATTGGCTCTTGTCTAAATTGTCCTAGTTTCATCCTGCATGGTAGGGGTTGGGGAAAGACCTGGCAACCTACCCTGTAAAAATAATTGCTAAGAAAATTCATGGAAAAAGTCGCTTACGAGTGAAGGTCCATGCAATCGCCAAGGGTTGGATACAACTGAATGGATAGATAGATAGATAGATAGATAGATAGATAGATAGATAGATATATAGATAGATAGATAGATAGATAGATAGATATGACAAACCACTAACCAACTGGCTGTCTAAAGAAGAATTCCAGGTATGGATATTTTTGCATCGTTGCATTTGTCCAGATTCCACCAATATTACTATGTACACTTAGGTGTCCTTTTATGAAACAGAGATCCTGAGGATCGTTGCTGATCTCAGATCATTAGTGGTTTAGGAAACAGAGATGATCAGTGGAGAACATGTTCTCCACTGATCATCTCAGCACACAGATGGCCAGTGTATGAAGGAGCGATGTCAGCCCTTCGTTGGCAATCTGTGTTCTCCCCTCCAGATTCTCCAGCCCAGAGTTAGAGAATCGGGATAACCGCAAACGAAGCAGCAATAATTTACCGCTGTTTAGTAAACGGTGTTTGACTGATCTCTTACTGTAATCTCTCGAGATTATAGTAACATCAGCCGTTTTCTAGCGTTCAAAGCGTTTGTAGATCGCTTCTCTCTTCATTAGGTGAAGTGATCTACACCGCTTCATAAAAAGGCATTCAGGGGAGAACTCTCTTCTCTGAGAATACCGAGATTTGAGCAGCGGTCATTTACCGCTGCATGATAAAAGGACACCTTAATGGACACTTTATTAGGTCCACCTTACTAGTACCGGGTTGGACCCCCTTTTGCCTTCAGAACTGCCTTAATTCTTCTTGGCATAGATTCACCAAGAGTTGGAAATATTCATCAGAGATTTTGGTCCATATTGACATGACCTACTGTTGCCTTTCTATCATCTGGAACCAGTCTGCCCATTCTTTTCTGACCTCTGACATCAATGAGGCATTTTCGTCCACACAACTGCCATTTTCAGGGTGAATAACCTCAGGGTGAATAACTAGACCGAGTTCACTATATGAACCCACTGATGTATTTATATACATGGAGATCATATCCCCCTTATGTATTATACATGGAGATCATATCCCCCTTATGTATTATACATGGAGATCATATCCCCCCTTATGTATTATACATGGAGATCATATCCCCCCTTATGTATTATACATGGTGATCATATCCCCCCTTATGTATTATACATGGAGATCATATCCCCCTGGTATGTATTATACATCCTATCCCCCCCTTATGTATTATACATGGAGATCATATCCCCCCTTATGTACTATACATGGTGATCATATCCCCCCCCCCTTATGTACTATACATGGTAATCATATCCCCCCTTATGTATTATACATGGTGATCATACCCCCCCCCCATGTATTATACATGGTACCCCCTTATATACATGGTAATCATATCCATGGTAATCATATCCCCCTTATGTATTATACATGGTGATCATATCCCCCCCCCCCATGTACTATACATGGTGATCATATCCCCCCTTATGTATTATACATGGAGATCATATCCCCCTTATGTATTATACATGGAGATCATATCCCCCCTTATGTATTATACATGGAGATCATATCCCCCTTATGTATTATACATGGAGATCATATCCCCCCTTATGTATTATACATGGAGATCATATCACCCCTTATGTATTATACATGGTGATCATATCCCCCCTTATGTATTATACATGGAGATCATATCCCCCTTATGTATTATACATGGAGATCATATCCCCCCCCTTATGTATTATACATGGAGATCATATCCCCCCTTATGTATTATACATGGAGATCATATCCCCCCTTATGTATTATACATGGAGATCATATCCCACCTTATGTATTATACATGGAGATCATATCCCCCCCCCCTATGTATTATACATGGAGATCATATCCCCCTTGTATATTATACATGGAGATCATATCCCCCCTTATGTATTATACATGGTGATCATATCCCCCCTTAATCTCCTCTTCTTAAGAGAGAATACATTCAGTTCCTCTAATCTTTCCTCATAGCTGAGCTCCTCCATGCCTCTTATCAGTTTTGTTGCCCTTCTCTGCACTTTCTCCAGTTCTCCAATGATCTTTTTTGTGAATTGGTGCCCAAAACTGAACTGCATATTCCAGATGAGGTCTTACTAATGATTTGTACTGGGGGGAATGATATCTCTCTCTCTGGAGTCTATACATCTTCTAATACAAGAGAGGATTTTGCTCGCTTTAGAACCCGCGGCTTGGCATTGCATGCCATTATTAAGCTTGTGATCTACCAGAACTCCCAGATCCTTCTCCACCATTGATTTCCCCAGTTGTACCCCCCCTAGTATGTATGATGCATGCATATTCTTAGCCCCCAAGTGCAGAACCTCACATTTATCAACATTAAACCTCATTTGCCACATAGTTGCCCAATTACACAGAGCATTGAGGTCAGCTTGTAAGTTGGAGACATCCTGTAAGGACGTTATTCCACGGCACAGCTTGGTGTCATCTGCAAAGACTGAAATGGGATTTATAATCCCAGACCCTATATTGTCTATAAATATATTAAAAAGTAAGGGTCCCAACACTGAACCTTGGGGTACACCACTGGCAACCCTAGACCATTCAGAGTATGAATCATGAACCACTACTCTCTGAATACCATCTTTTAGCCAGTTTTCTATCCATATACGTACGGATTTTTCCAAGCCCGTAGACTTTACCTTACACATTAGCTGTATGTGGGGAACTGTGTCAAATGCTTTTGCAAAATCTAGGTATACCACGTCCACCGCCACCCCTCTGTCCAAGTATACCATGTCCACCACCACCCCTCTGTCCAAGTATACCACGTCCACCGCCACCCCTCTGTCCAAGTATACCACGTCCACCGCCACCCCTCTGTCCAAGTATACCACGTCCACCGCCACCCCTCTGTCCAAGTATACCACGTCCACCGCCACCCCTCTGTCCAAGTATACCACGTCCACCGCCACCCCTCTGTCCAAGGTTTTGCTCACCTCCTCATAAAAAGAAATCAGATTTGTTTGATAACTTCTGTCTTTCATGAATACATGCTGTCTATTGCTTAAAATATTTTTTCCAGCAAGAACTCATCTATGTGGTCTGTTATTAAACTCTCCAGTATCTTCCCAACTATAGAAGGTAAACTAACAGGTCTATAATTACTTGGTAAAGATTTTGATCCTTTTTTAAATATTGGCACCCCATTGGCCTTACATCAATCCAGTGGTACTATGTCAGTCATTAAAGAGTGCCTAAAAATGAGAAACAATGGCTTTGAAGTGACAAAGTTCAATTCTTTAAGGCCCCGTGGGTGTATGCCATCCGGTCCAGGTGCTTTATTCACCTTTATTCTATCTAACAATATTTCCCGATCATATAATTTGTGAGCCAATGTGGATCATCTGGGGTTATGTCATTATCATGCCCATTGTGGACAAGAGCTTCCCCATACACAGAGCTAAAGACGTTATTTAATAAATTGGCCTTCTCTTTGTCTCCACTCACCCACTCTAGATTATTTTGTAAAGGGCCTACATGCTTGGACCTGACCTTTTTGCTGTTAATATATTTGAAGAATTTTTGGGGGTTTTGTTCTGCTATCTTTTGCAATCTGACGTTCGTTTTCAATTTTTATATTTAATAAAGGCTCTTTTCTTCTTATTATTGTTTATAACTTTTTTAACTTTGGCCGTAAGCCACATAGATTTGATTGTTAGCCTTTTAAACTTGTTGCCCATGGGAAAATATTTTGCAGAGTGTTCACTTTCAGTCTTTTTGAAGAACTCCCATTTCTGGGTTGTGTTCATTGATGCCAATATTCCCTGCCAGTCTAAGTCTTAGGGAGCAACTTTCAGCCTTGGAAAATTAGCTCTCTTAAAGTTGAGCGTTTTTATTTCCCCCCGTGTGTGCTTGTTGTTTACAGCTAACAAGAAATGAACTCATGTTATGGTCACTGCTACCTAGATGTTCTTTTATATGGACATTAGTAATAGCCTCTGCATGGTTTTAGATTACTAGGTCCAGCATAGCATCATTCCTAGTTGGGGCCTCTATGAACTGTACCATAAAATTGTCCTGTAGTAGGTTTATACATTTTTGTATACACCTTTAACTGTTCCTGCAGTACCATTAATCCAGTCAATTTCCGGGTAGTTAAAATCCCCCATTATTATCACTGTCCCAGTCCTTGCAGCCCTTTTCGATCTGTGCAAGGAGCTGAGTCTCCTCCTCCTCATTAACACTGGGTGGCCTATAACAAACTCTGACGTTTGTAGTACGCACCACCATGTGCAGTTCCACCTATAATGCTTCAGCCTCATCACACTCTCCATCAATTAGGTCCTCTTTCACACTCACTCTGAGATCACTTCTCGCATAGAGAGACACCACCACCTTTCCTTTTTACTCTGTCTCTCCAAATGTTCTTCCCCTAACATTTGTACAACTCCAGCTGCAGCAGCTGTCAGGCTTGAATGGTATTTGACAGGCTGTGGGCAGTGGGCCTTGAGCACCTGTGCCCTTTACCCACAGCTAAATGCCAAATCCCCATGCATTGGGGCTAAATGTCCAGTGTGTATGGGGTCTAAAATGTTTATCTACACATTCCAGTTTTTTGGTAGATCCTGGTGTTAAACCATCTTTACATTTTAAAAGTTTGCTATTTGCAACAATTTGTGATGATGGAATCACACCAGGCTTGGTAAGACTGTGTTGGGCACTATTCCAACTCGATCCCATTACTGTCATTACTGCTGCCAGTCTTGTAACAGAAGAAAGGCGATCCTGTCCCTACAGTAAACCTTTACGCCAAGGTAGCCTGCTCCTCCCGCCCACCCCTTGTCCCGGCCCTGCTGATGGGGGTTAAAATAAAAAAATCCAAAAAAAAAAAAAAAAGTTTTGCCTAAAATCCTACTTTAAGATAAGGAAACCAAACACGTGAAAACAAGCCCAAAAAGACGTCATGGCCACCATCAGGTAAAAAATGCAGACACCATGCCAAAACTATTCTCTGTGTACCCTGCCAGGAAACAATGCCCTGTCCTCCAGTCATGCATAACTCCCAACATGAATGAAAAAACCCGACTAACAACTGAATTCACCAGCTTCTTGTCAATTTACAATGCCTCATTACTCCAGTCACCCAGGCAGCTGATAGGGTTTTATCTAACAGAAAGGCCAGGCTAGTCAATTGACATCAGGGCACAGAAATTCGCTGGACACTGAAAGGTTAAGTCAGTTCTAAGAAACCTCCAACATGTCAGCAAAAATTAGCAGAGAAGATGGCCCCGTCGTCAATAAAGGACACTAGCAATTAGTTAATGATTAGGATTTTAACATTGTGGAATCAATAGCAAGATGAGCCACCTTGTAGAAATTTGCATGCATTAAGAAAATCTATACGGTTACAAAATAATAGTAGCCACAGCACAAAATGATTGCGCAGATCACGCCAAGCTGGTTATTTACACGGCAGTATGGAAATGTTGTATTGTACACCATTGTGGCCTCCTGGTTTTAAAGTCTACATTGTAATATGAATGCAGAATATATTTCCACTTTAAAAAGAAAATATTATTATACAGGATTTATAAAGCGCCAACAGTTCGCACATTGCTTTACAAGATAGGGGCAGACAGTACAGTTACAATACAGGGGTTGAACAAAAAAATGGAAACACTATGATTTGCAGGTGTGAAGGTGACGCCATGTTTCACATCGGAAGCGGAAGTGATATAACATTCTTTTACTTCTGCTGTGTGATGAGACACCTAGCTAACAGGTGGGAAGCCTCGCTTTTGTCATTCGCTGCGTGTGCTCCTACATGGAAGAAAATTATATTTGAAATGTATTTTAAAAATATTCTTCCCAAATATATTGCCATATATTTGAAATGCTACAATGTTGGCCATATTGGCCGTACAGCGCTTCACCCCATTCACTAAACTAAGGCTAAAGTCCCTACGGCCCCATGTACACGGGACACTTCTGAACGATGAAAGCTGACTGCTGGAAAACGCAGGTTAAAAAATGTCTGTTTAGCCACGTTTGCATAACGCATTTATGTGCGTTTGCGTTTAGAAGCGTTTTTTTTAAAGATAAGCACAGGAGAACCTCCCAAATGCCCAGAATGCACTGAAAAGTGGTAAATTATTAACTATTTCAGACTGTTCCAGAGAAATACAGAGAGTAGAAGCAGAGACAGCAGTATGTGTTGAGATTAGCTTAGGTGTGAGTTGCTCATTAACATTTCTTTTGTTTCCAAGGGTGGGAAAGGTGTCTAGTAGAGTCATTAAGGTCACCTGGCAGGGGGTCTTCATGAAGAATTGGAGGTGTGAATGGTCATTAACATATATTTTGTTTCCAAGGGTGGGAGAGGTCTGAGGTGTGAATTGGTCATTAACATATCTTTTGTTTCCAAGGGTGGGAGAGGTCTGAAGTGTGAATTGGTCATTAACATATCTTTTGTTTCCAAGAGTGGGAGAGGTCTGAACTGTGAATTGGGCATTAACATATATTTTGTTTCCAAGGATGGGAGAGGTCTGAGGTGTGAATTGGTCATTAACATATCTTTTGTTTCCAAGGGTGGGAGAGGTCTGAACTGTGAATTGGTCATTAACATATCTTTTGTTTCCAAGGGTGGGAGAGGTCTGAAGTGTGATTTGGTCATTAACATATCTTTTGTTTCCAAGGGTGGGAGAGGTCTGAAGTGTGAATTGGTCATTAACATATCTTTTGTTTCCAAGGTGGGAGAGGTCTGAGGCGTGAATGGGTCATTAACATATCTTTTGTTTCCAAGGGTGGGAGAGGTCTGAAGTGTGAATGGGTCATTAACATATCTTTTGTTTCCAAGGGTGGGAGAGGTCTGAAGTGTGAATTGGTCATTAACATATCTTTTGTTTCCAAGGGTGGGAGAGGTCTGAAGTGTGAATTGGTCATTAACATATCTTTTGTTTCCAAGGGTGGGAGAGGTCTGAAGTGTGAATTGGTCATTAACATATCTTTTGTTTCCAAGGGTGGGAGAGGTCTGAGGTGTGAATGGGTCATTAACATATCTTTTGTTTCCAAGGGTGGGAGAGGTCTGAAGTGTGAATGGGTCATTAACATATCTTTTGTTTCCAAGGGTGGGAGAGGTCTGAAGTGTGAATTGATCATTAACATATAAATTTGTTTCAAGGGTGGGAGAGGTCTGAGGTGTGAATTGGTCATTACAATGTGTGACAACCTTGGTAGGAACATCCTGTGTTCAGTGTTTTGTCCATCTGAGTACCTTGAAAACTCTTTCCATGCATTTTTCATGATGAAAAAGGCTCTGGACAGCATCGGGAACTGGAAGAGTTAAAAAAAAATGTCAAACGCAAACGCTTAGAAACGTGATTTGCAAGTGTTTTGCGTTTGAAACGCTGATAAAATCAACTGCTGAACGCAAGTTTTCTGCGGTCAAAAAAACAACTGTAAACTTGAATGCCTGTAAACGTCTGTACACGAAAATGTATACATGGACACATAGGAAAACATTAGGGAGAGTTCAGGGGCTGCTGAAAAAAACTCTCAACAGCTCCTAAACGTGAGTTTATCAGCTGCAGTGTACATGAGCCCTACAAAGTGCAATTTCCCCCACAAAGCAGCCTATTTGCCTTTAGTAAATCGATCCTGATGCCTTCGACACGTACGAAAAGAAAGAAGTGATTATAGAGGGACATCAAAAACGGAGGAAGAAAGTAGCTGTCACTAAGCTGTGTTCTAGCGCATAACTGCAGGACTGTGTAGCATGTCACATCAACAGTAAAGAGCCTGGAGGTCTGCCACCGGGACAGATTTCTAGGGACATTCATTTGCAGACTAATCACAGGACGACTTTGTTAATAATCAAAGTCATCCTAACACTGCGAGCGGAAAAAAAAAAAAAAAAAAACTTTGTTCTAATGTGAGGGGAGGTGATAAGTAAAAGAACACAGAAACTAAGAAATTAAAATGTGCTAAGATACTACCGAGGTATGAAGAAGAACAAATGATAACAAATGATAAAAAAAGGAAAAGCAAGGGAGGTAGAATGAAGGAGAGACACCAGGAGGCAGGAACTGCAATGCAGATGTATTCATCTGGCAAGGAGAACAAACAAGTCAAACAAATTCATAAGAATAAGGCCTGAGGACACCAAGGGCTCTTTCACACGGACGTTCCGATCGAATCCACCTGCCCGTTTTTCAGGCGGACCCCATCGGAACTTCCATTCTCCTCTATGGACTGGCCGGTGTAAATGGACATGTCAGTTTACACCCGTCGACATCCGATCCGCCAAAAAGGGACAGATGGGGATCCACTTCCCCTTTCCGTCCGTCGGATCGGATTGGATGAAAACGGACAGACGGCCCGTTTTCATCCCGACCGCCCATTGTGGAGAGCGAGCAGCTCTGCAGCAGAGGGGACACAGAGCCTGTCCTCCGATTCCTCAGCAGCAGAGAAATCCCTCACAGCAAGTGGATCCGCTGAATGGGTCAATCCCGTGTGTAAGAGCACTAAGGGTCCAAGAAAAAATGGATCAGTTCACAGCAGTGTTTCATCAGTTTACATCTGTTTTTGTCTGTTTACATCCATTAATCCTTTTTCATCAGTTTTTTTTTTTTGGCACTATATAAATCCTGTAATAATAATAATATATATATATATACACATTATATTACCAAACGTTTTGGGGCGCCTGCCTTTACAGGAACATGAACTTTAAAGTGGTAGAAAACTTTTTTTTTTTTTTTTTTTTATTTTACCTACAGGTAAACTTATAATAAAGCTTATCTGTAAGTAAAGTAAATATTGTACACCCGTTAGGAGATATTTTCTCTTTTTCTAAAGCCGGCACACGCGCTCTAAAGGAACAGCATACCCCTGCCGTTCCTTCAGAGCTGTGTGCCATGGCCCAGGACTCCCACTCTCATGCGAGAGACTGACATCATCGTGGCCTGGCCTGTCAGACGGCCGGAGCACTTCTGGCCACTTTCTCTAGACAGTAGATAGGTGTACCTGGGTCCCACTGGTTTCTGGCAGTTCTTTGCTGATGGCACTGCTGGACATCTTCCGATGTCGAAGGGAAGTAAGCACAATGTGTGTTTCATCTGCTGTATTTAGTTTCCTTGACTAACCACTGTGTCTACGTTGCCAGTTTCTTTGTGCGTGTTCAAAAGGAAACCAATGCAGGCACAGGGAGAACATGCAAACTCCAGGAAGGTGGTGCCATGGTGTGGATTTGAACCAACAACCTCAGTACTGCCAGACTAACCATATAGCCAGTGTGCTCATCTCTATTATTTATGTTTGACAGGTTTATTGCTCTTCTAGAGAGACACTCCATGAGCTGGGAGAGGAGAATCAACCAAAGCTGCTATGCCTGCCCTTCCCCTTCTCCTGCCCATTCACAGAAGCCATTGTATTATGTGAACACATTCACAAAATACAAAGGCTTCTGTGAATGGGCAGCAGAAGGGAGGGGCAAGCCTAGCAGCTTTGTATGCTTCCTGTTATAAACCGCCTGGCAGAATCTCTAGCAGCCCACCGCACGGACGCCCTCAGGGCGTGGGGTCTAAGTCCCAGCCTGCTGTTTACCAGGGCCCCTGATGGTGGGGATGGACTTGGTGCAGACTGGAACCAGGTCGCGACCCCCGAGTGCGTCCTGCGGTGGTAGAGAGTACTGACAGGGGAGTGCAGGAATGGAATCTAATTGGAAAAGGCAGACAGATACACTGGTCTGATCCGAGCCGGATGGATGGATGGTCGGGTACGGTATGCGTGGTCAGACAGGCCGGGTCAGTATTATGCAGACAGCGGGGTACAATAGGAGCGAGCTAAGAATGGTCAGGTCACAAGCCAGGTTCAGCAGGATGTGGGCAAACACAGTACCAGGGATCAGACGGAAGAATAGTCAGGCAAGCCAGGGGTTAAGCAGGAGAAGAGCAGGATCAGGAACAAGCAGAGGTCGGCAACGGAGTATACAGCAACACAGAATCAGGAACAGGATACAAGACCAAACGGCAACTTGACATACCTGTTCCTATGTTTAAATAGCCCGCCTCCCGCTGTCATTGGTGCCAGGCGCACGTCCACGATCCCGAGTGCGCATGCACGAACCCTGCCGCCGCCATGCGCGCCCAGGTCCTACCGCCCCGCCGGGTAGTGAGTGTTGGTGTTCTGCGCATGCGCCGCCCGACGCGATGCCGCAGAACACCCGTATCCTGACACTTCCCTCCTCCCAGCTCCTGAAGTGTCTCTCTAGAAGAGCAATAAACCTGTCAAATGTAAATAATAGAGATGAGAACACTGGCTAAATGGTTAGTCCTGAAGTACTGAGGTTGTTGGTTCAAATCCACACCATGGCAACACCTGCCTGGAATTTGCATGTTCTCTCTGTGCTTGCGTGGGTTTCCTCTGGGTACTCCAGTTTCCTGCCATACTCAAAGACATGCTGGTAGGCTAATTGGTTCCTGTATAAATTGGCCCTAGTATGTGTATGTATGGATGAGAATTAGGGCCCTTAGATTGTACGCCCCTTGAGGGTTAGGGACTGATTTGAATGTACTATATATATATATATATATATATATATATATATATATATATATATATATATATACACACATTAAGCGCTGAGAAAATTGATAGCTCTATATACTGTGATTACCTGTAATAAATAAATAATAAATAAGCAAATAATAAAATAAGCCCAGGAGGTGTCATGCAGCTCCTTGGACTTAACTCATAGCCTTCACTTTTTACAAAGTGGCTAATTTCCTAGGAAACTCAGCTTTACATACAACATGGCTCATGTAGCAATCATTTTTTTTTTAATTTGCAATTTTTTTTTTCCCACAAAAGTGGAGTTACCTTTTAAACCTGATGACAGAACACCATAGATAGGCATGCCCTAGTTTGAATGCCCTAGGATAAAAAACAGGAAACTACATTCTGGAGACGGGGGTTATCCCTGCAACAGAGACCCTGTTCTTCAAATATAGACATTCTTTAATAAACTCTGAGGAGTTTCTACTTTATTCTTTTAACCTAGCTCTACCACTCCAGGCTAGCACCCCCCCCCCCCCCCCCCCCCCATCCACAGGCTTTTTCATCTACCGGAAAAAATGCTAACGCCTCTCTTTAGATAGGTAATGTAAATGCACATGATATATGTACTTGAAGCTGGCAATCAAATTCCCACTGCAAACTTTTTAACAACCTCCGTGGTTTGTTTCTTGTCTTTCTTGAGAGGTTATTAGACATTTTTAATCAAAAGAAGTCTGACCGTGTCAGTTTAGATGCCTCAGGAATCCGTACAACTGACATCACACACCCTGCAATAAAATGTTACCTGACATGCCTCTTCCCTGACTCCATCTCATATGAGCTGCAGTTTGATGTGGGGGATCAGCACGGTCAGAGCCGAATCCCTGGGCTCCCTGTTCCTGTGCAGACAAGTCTGTAAAAGAGAATTTAAAAAAAACTCTTCAATGAAGAGCGAGCACAAGTGCTTACAAACTTCCAGTCCTCGTGTCTTTATTTCTTTAGTTGTGTTACTATTGATGTCTCTTTTCTAACTTTCGAAAGAATGATATAAAACCGGTTTCACTTTCCAACACATTTTTTTGTAATGATGGCGTAGTGATTATGTTAGGGACAAAAATAATGAGGCTGTCATCAAATTCGTCCCTATAAAGGGTAACAACAAAACATAGCAAATGAAAAAATAATAAACCACATACCGGTGGTGTCACACGCAATTTTATTGTGGGCCGCTTCAACATTATGGTTGCCCTCAAAGGACCAGTTTTATATGTAAGGCTAGTTGTCCAGAACACCCCCCCCCACTTACATAAGACATCAAGAGCCCCCCCCCCCCCATCATTAGATGTCAAGAGTCCCTTCCCTTCCCTCACATCAGGCCCAGATCTAGGGGGATACAGGAGAAGGCTCCCCCCCCCACAGATTTTAGTTGTGTCCCCCCAGGTCTCTACGAGTGCCTCCACTGATCCATGAGGCACTCGGATGGGGACA